AAAAAAAAAGAAGCTGGATGTGGTGGCCCATACTTGTGATCTCAGCACTTGGGAGGCTGAGGCAGGAGGTTCGCTGTGAGTTCGAGACCAGCCTGATCTGCAAAGTGAGCTCAAGGCCAGCCTGAACTACATAGTGAAACTTTGTGTCAAAAAAAGAGGAGGGACCTGGGGAAACATCCGGTGGTCTAAGCACCTGCCTGGCAAGCGCAAGGACCTTGGTTCCACCCCCAGCACCGCATGCCGTCGGCCATTGAGACCAGGTGTGGTGGAGCACAGCTGTAATCCCAGTGCTGGGGAGACTGCGACAGGAGGATCACTAGAGTCCGAACTGTGTAGCGAGACCCTGTACCAAATAAATAAATAAAAGATTTTTAAAAAATTTTTAAAAACCTAAACAAAGAAAGCATATCTAGATCTGTATCTATATCTCTCCTCTAACAAACTGTTAGCTGTTTTAAGTGATGTGGGCATCAAGTAACTAGATTCTTAAAATAACCTTATTCTACAATAAAATGCATTTCTCTGAATGGAAAAATAAATTATTTAAAATGGAAAATTAAAACGATCTGAAGGAAAGACAACCAGATGTTACTGTTTGTTTCCTCCCCTTGGAGGACCCACGGGTATTGTTAATACAGAGCTGGGTACTTTTCTCCAGCACCCCTGCAGGGCTGTCTTGCATTAGATTAGTCGCTAAACGCAGAGTGCGTGGCGTCGCCTGTCTGACCCACACAGACAGCGGAATCCGTGGTCTCTCCGCCCCCCCCCAAGTCGGGACCACGGGTGTCTGCTGAGACAGTCGCCACCAGGGGGCACTGACGGTCGTTCTTTCCCAAGCCGAGGGGGAGGGGTGAGGGGGGGCTCTGTGGAGCGGCCAGGGCGGCCTCTCACCAACACAGGGGACCGAACCTCAACGGGCTAGAGCCCAGTAGGTCCTCGGAACCCTTCCCTGCGGTGAATGACAGCTCACAGCCTGACAAACAGCAGGAGCCTGATGAGTTTCCTTCTTTTCTTTTTTTTCCCTGTTCTCCCCCCCACCCCTCCCCTCTCCTTTCCTCCCCCTTGCTATCCCCCCTCTCTTCTCCCCACCCACCCACCCCCATTCTCCTCCCCTCCCCTCCTTCTCTTTTCTTTTCATTGCTGGGCGTTGAACCCAGGACCTTGTACATACTAGGCAAGCGCTCTACCCTGAGCTACATCACAGCCCTAAGTGATAACCTTTTGAGAGGCTGAGCACACAAACACATTATTCACACACACACGCACGCACGCACGCACGCACGCATTCCGCAAGTCAGGCTTGGCCCTGCGAGGGCACCTAGAGAAGCAACTCTGGCCTGGGGCCCCTGCCCTCTCTACCACACCCAGACTTACAGCGCACTTGCCACACCCATCTGGCAAGCTCTCTCTCCTCCTCAAAGGGTGGATTCCACCCTCCTCCTTGCGTGGGAATGTTGTGTCGTTGGTTGCCCAGGCAACCGGGGTTGCTGGGCCACAGCCTTCTGGGAGTCCGAGCCTTGGCTGCAGCCGGGACCCTCCCCCCCCCCCCAGGGCCTCCCCGCTTTTGCAAAGCTGCAGCCTGGGGCAACTGCAGGAGCCATGGCGGTACCTCGGGAGGAATATTTCCGGCTGGTCTGGCAGGAGAAAGTGCCGTAAGTGGGACAGAGAGGCAGGAAAGGGGCGGGAGCCTGTGCGATGGCTTCGATCTTCTCCCCACCACACACAGCTCAGAGGGAGGGAGGAGGAAGCTGAGGTTCTCAGGGAAACAGCGACGGCCACAAGGTCTCAGGGCTGCTGGGGCAGATGGCTCAGATCGCTAATCTTCCCTGTCTCCACCTCGCTGGAACCCAGCAGGGATGGTGCCCTTGAGCCAGGTGCATATGGATTATCTATCGTGAGCAGCTCCTACTGTAAGGGACCTTGAGTCCTGCTCAGGATCAGACCTGTGCGGCGGCGGGGTCCCTCCTCTGAGAGCTGCGCTGCTGCGCACATGAAACATCTCTCCCTTCCACTCCCCTACATCCCTCCAGAGCCGGACCCCTGGCCTCTCCCTGTCAGGGGCAGACAGGTGTCCAGCGCTCTCTTAGCCCCAGGGAGCTTGTGTCCCTCCGCCCACCTGCCTCACCACAGCCTTCCCTTCCTGCTGCGCTGATCAGAAGCCCATGGTCCCTGCCAGGGATTCCCCTCTGCTAGAAGCCCCTAGGGTTCTGATCTCCCTCAGGGCCAAGGACACAGCCCCCCACGACCTGACCCCTTAGGCCCCTCTGCCCCCAATTCCACCGCTTTCTTCCCCCCCCCCCCCACTCCTGGCCTTGCCCTTGGCTGGCCCCTTGACTCAGGCTCTGTTCCCTGTGTATAACCAGACAGTTTGTTGTCTTCTTTTTCAGTGTCACCTCCTTGGAGACTTCTTGACTCCTTTAGTCCGCTTAAGTTTTCCTTTTAGCACCCACCATGCCCTGGCCTTGTGTCTCGTCATCATCATTATTATTATCATCATTTTTATTTTGTGTTTTTTGGACAGGGTCTCACTATGTAGTCCAAGCTGGCCTCAAAAACTCGGCAACCCTCCTGCCTCAGCCTCCTGTGTGGTGGGATTACAGGCGTGTGCCAAGATGCCCAAATCTGTATTATTATCAGCAGAATGGCAGCTCCTGGGGTGGTGATTTTATTTTTGCTACCTTCTTTATAACTGTACGCCAGTGCCTGGAATAGCACCTTTAAACGGCTTGGAGAATGTAGGATTCTCCATCTACTAGCGGCTGTGGGGTATTCCAGGTACTAGCAGGGAGCCCTGGAGCTATGAGTCCTGCATCTTTTCCCTCTGCCTCCCTTTTGACCTCTCCAGGAAGAAGCAAGAGCAAAGTGTGGACCACTTCCCACCCGTGCTGCGCCTCCTGGAGAAGAGGCAGGAGCTGGAGGAGGCAGACCGGGAGCTGCAGGCCCGGAAAGAGGTGAACCCCCACCAGCTCTGTCCCCTGGGGCTCAAGTGAGAGCAGTCATTGGTGCACATAACGCTGTGTGCACTGAGCACCTGCTGTGCGCCGGGCACTGCAGATCTCTCCATAATCCCTGCCCACGTGGGGCTCCCAGTCTAGAGAAGCAAACAGGCAAGCATCCCGGTGGTGACTGCTGTGAGGGAGTCCAGATGGGGTGGTCTAGGAGGACTTGCTGGAGGAAGTAGGGTCTTAGGGCCTGGAGGAGAATAAGCTGGCCTGTCCAGCGAAGGAAGCTGGGCTCAGGAGGAAGAAGCAAGCAGAGGGGCCATTGTAGATGAGTGCTGGAAGGCTGGGGGGCAAAGCACAGTGGCCGGGAGCTAAGCCGGTGGGAGGAGAGAAGGTGGGCAGAGGCTGGAGGCAGCCAGGTGACATGCCTGTGATCCCAGTACTCAGGGAGGCTGAGGCAGGGGGATTGCAAGTTTGAGTCCAGCCCGGGTAATTTAGTGATTTAGCAAGATCCAATCTCAAAATTTAAAAAAAGAAAAGAGATGGGAACGTGGCTCATTGTGAGGCCCCTGGGCTCTGTCTCTAGCAAGCAGGCGCTGGGGCTTCCTCCCGGAGTGGTGGGAGCCTTGGATGGATTTGGGCAGCGGGGTATCCGCAGGATCTGGAGCACTGGACAAGAGGGATTAAGGGCAACTTGACAAGCCTAGGGGGACCGGAGCCCTCAGATTCAGCGGTGGGATGGCACCTTGCCCTCAGGAGTTCCACACCACCATGGCGGCCCTGCAGCACCGCTGGGAGCAACTGGAGCAGAAAGAGCGGGAGCTGAAGGGGTCCTTAGGCCGCTTCGACAAGTTCCTCCAGGTGATGGAGACTGTGGAGAGGGTCATAGGAACAGTGACTTGGGGCCTTACCGTGGCCAAAGGCTGCGGGTTTAGACTTTTAGAGGTGTTGGCGGGAGCGCACAGACTCAGCCCGGAATCTGAGATTCTCCGTGGGGCCTGCGTGTTAGGGCTTAGGGCGCAGGGCTCCACAGTCCCCCAGTGCTCAAGTACGTCCTGTGCATCCGGGTCCCCAGGAGGCCGAGGCCCGGCGCGGCCGCGCGCTGCGGAGGGCTGTGGAGGAGCGGGAGCGCGCGGGCCGGCGGGAGGCCGAGGCGCAGCGGCTGCGCGCCCAGCTCGAGGACCTGCGGCGGGAGCGCGCGCGGCTGCAGCGCAGGCTGGGGCACTTGGAGCCTTGCGCGCGGCTCCTGGAGCGCGCGCTGGAACAGCTGCCAGAGGTAAACTGCGGGCCGCCGGGCGCCTGAGACGGATTTGGTCCCTAATGGAGCACCGACTATATGCAAGATCGTCGATTACCGAGTGGAGTGCGCTGTCTGTGCTGGGGATAAGCGGTTTTATTTTTCCTTCTGATGCTGGGAATGAAACCCAGGGGCTTGAGGAAGCGCTGTGCCTCTGAGCTCCGCCCCCAGCCCTTTTTGGCTTGTTCTGAGACTGGGTCTCGCTAAAGTGCCCAGGCTGGGATTGAATTTATTCATTTATTTTTAACTTTCTGCAAAGCTGTATTCCGGAGGGGCTCAGTCCTTCTTGGCAGCGGCCTTCCTCATGGCGGTCAGCACGTTGCTCAGCTCCTCACGCTTCCTCTTGGCGCGGATGTGCGTCCCCACCGTTTTCTTGATGAACTTGAGGGGCGCTTGTCCTTGGAGACCTTCAGCAGGTCCATGGCTTGCTGCTCATAGGGGACCTGAGCCGCACACCTCCCGGATCATGTCCTGCATGAACTTGGTGTGTTTGGTGAGGCGTCCGCGACGGCGGCTGTGCCTCGGTTTGCTCACGTTCTTGTGGCCCTTTTGAGGCCCACAGCCATGGGATAGCGGAGGGCCATGGCTACTGTTCTTTGATGGTCATTGTGGTGGAAGCTGGAATTGAATTCATTATCCTCCTGCCTCAGCCTCCTGAGTAGCTGGAATTACAGCCCATGGACACCGCACCTGGCCATGCCTTGTCCTTGAATTTTGCCGTGAAAAAGTGGGTCCTGCTATTGTCAACCCCATTTTACAGAGCAAAAGAGGGGTTTCAGAAAGCTGACTCTCTTGGTCAAGGCCATGCTATTGAGCAACCAAGCAAGCGTGCGTGTGTGTGCATGTGTACATGTATGTATGTATGTGCATATGTGCATGTGTACACATGCATGTGCAAGGGTGCATGGGTCTACACATATGTGTGTGCATGTGTGTTTGTGCCTGGGAGGCAGACAATAAATTTTATGACCCATGCACTATGAAAGCTGAGGCAAAAAAATTGCAAGTTCTAGCCCAGTCTGGGCAGCTTCACAAGACAAGGGATGGGGGGTGTCACTCCTATAGTCCCAGCATTTAGGAGGCTGAGGCAACAGGATCACAGCGAGTTCGAGACCAATCTGGGCTACAAAGTGAGTTCAAGGGCAGCCAGAACTACATATTGAAATCTTGTCTCAAAATAAATAAACAAACAAATAAAATGGGGGGCTGGAGATGGAGTTCAGGGCACAGGAGTTCACACCCAGTACCAATCAATAGTATGAGCTGAATGAACACAGAGTAGATTGCCGGGGGAGTTGAGGGAGGGTGGGATCAGAGCTTCCAGCCCACAGCTCCTGCTGTCCCCACTTCTGGTGTCCTATGATGAGGTGCCCCTTTCACGGATGGGAAGGGGAGGCGGTCTGCTGAAGGCCTACGGGAGCGCACTCCTCCTCCCCTCACTCCAGTTCCAGGAGGTCCACGAGCTGGTGGTGCGCTTCGAGGGCCTGGTGGATACAAGGGTGGCGCTGCGGCAGGCCGAGCACGAGCGGAGAGTGGAGCTGGCGGCGGCACGCGCAGGGCTGCAGCGGCTGCGGGACGCAGGGCAGGACGAACTGCTGGCGCTGAGCCAGCGGCGCTCTGAACTGCAGGATCGGCTGGAGGCGGCGCGGGAGCACAGGCTGCAGTGGGTATGGCCCTGGGATTGGGCTCATGCCCTGGGAGAAGAGATGGGCCTTGCACGCGCGGGAAGGCCGGCCGCTCAAGGGAGAGGCTCGGGCTCTGGAGACCTCCGGACACGGGGCGCCCTATGAGCTGCACGGGTAGCGCCTGCCCCCTGTCCTCAAGGGCGCCTGTGCACATCTGCCAGGCAGGGGAGTGGCAAGGAAACTGCAGTTTTCTGCTGCGCTCTACAGGGCGCGGGATGGCATTCTTCTGCAGGAATCCAGGTGGATTCAGATCCAGAGCACCGCGGCCGAGAAGACCCTGCTCCTGGGACGCGCGAGGATGGCGGCGCTCAACCTGGCCCAGGTAGTGAGCCAGCACCAGCGGCAGCCACCCGTCCTGGACGTGGAGGACACGGAGGCGCAGCTGGAGCAGGTGAGGACCCTTTTCATGTCCCCCTGACCCAAGCACCTCCTCTTTGGAAACATGGAGGTGCCGGGAAATCCCACCATTGGCGACATGGTCGAAGCATGGGCAGATATGGGCTCCATTGCAGCCCAGGCACCTGCCTGAGAGTCCTCTTTCGTCGTGGCCCTCTCGGTCATCTGCTGTGTGACCAAAAGAAAGCTGTGCCCCACTGGAGCTAGGCGTGGTGCTACATGCATGTGCTCCCAGCACTCTGAGAGGCTGAGGCAGGATGGTTCCAAGCTTAAGCCCCAGCCTGGGCAATTTAGGGACCTGGTGAGGCACCGTTTCAAGGTAAAAAATGAAAAGGGTAGCAGGGTGTGGTGGTGCATACCTGCAACCCCAGCACTCAGGAGGCTGAGGCAGGATTACTGTGAATTTGAGGCCAGCCTGGGCTATACAGTGAGCTCAAGGCCAGCCTGAACTGCATAGTGAGACCTTGTGGCATGCACGCGCACACACACACACACATGGGGCTGCTGGGCTAGGGATGTAGCTCAGTACAAAGGCCCTGAGCTCAATCCCAGGGCTTTAGGGGGAGAGCTCTGTTCCTCTGGGGCTCCATGCACTCTGTGCAGGAAAACCCCATTCTCCCAGGAACAAGTCACACCCCTGTGACATTACTAGAATCCCAGAAGGCATACTGTCACTTTTATGTCTGACCTGCTCCCGACTTTCCTTGGGAAGGGGAGGCTGGGTTGGGTGGGGTATGCTTTGAGCTTCCTTTGTACAGTGATGCCACCAAATGTTCCTGTGACCCAATTGCACAGAGTAGGGGCCAGGCAGCAAGGGAAGGCAGGGCTGCAGACTCCAGACTCTTCCCTCGGGGTTTCCTGGGGGAGCCCGAAGAGGGGGTAAAAAGAGGTCACCCACCACACCCCCAACCCCTCTGCACCCCCAGCCTGTGAGCCACCTCCTGCTCACTTAGGTTGATGGCTGCCACGTGGCCAGGCTAGCTCCTGTCCCATGGGCCCCTGATTCCACCGAAGAGGAAGGCTCAGTGGACAATTCTGAGCCTTATCCCCAGCCCAGAAACAGTTTAGGCCTGGGCCTCTGCCCTGTCCCAGCAGCTGCGAGGGGCTCAGCCACTAGGTTACTCCTTGGTCAGTGACTTCTGCTGTGCCAAGGGGTAACTGTATTATTCCTTTTCCACTTTCAGTAGAGATAGAGACTGAGGTGACACATGTGCAGGGAAGCCCCCAGGTGGCCGAGTTTGCCATTAAGCAGTTCCTGGCTGTGGGCCTTCATTAAGCACCTACCAATAAGTCCCTATAAGCAGTAACTGTTAAGTGAGCTGGGTGCACTGCCCACAGCTGTAACTGCAGCTGTTCGGGAGGCTGAGGTAGGACTTCAAGTTCAAGGACATAACTTAGTGACTTAGGGAGATCCCATCTCAAAATATTTTTTAAAAAGGGCTGGAGATATAGCTCAGTATGAAGGCCCTGGGTTCAAATCTCTGTAAACCCCCCCTTGTTAATTAAAACACAAGACAGGGTCACCTGTGGAACTAAGCAGGTCCAAAACCAGTGGATGTGCCTCACCCAATTAAGACACTTGAGGCAGTGAAATACTTAGGCTGGAGACGGAACCATCTGGAGCTCCCCATCCTTGTCTAGGAACCAAGTGACATCGCTGCTGCTCCCTCAACAGGGTCCCCTGCCCTGTACCTGCCGTGACCACTGCTGCCTGGTGCTGGGGGTGGGGCTGGCTAGCAGTTGAGGACCAGGAAGTGACTGGCTGCGTTGGGTCCCCAGGTGAAGCAGTTCATCCTCGACCTCTCAGCCACGCTGGCCAGCCTCCGCCAGGCTGAGCTCGGGGCCACAGCCCCCACCCGGCTTCGATGAGCAGTGGGGGACCCTGCATTTCCAGTGGGGTGCACGTTGTGGCCAACTGGGGCATGTTTTCTCAGGATGAGTGGTGCCTGTCCATGCTGCCATGGGGCTTACAGAGGGGCACACACAGGCACCCCATAGATACAGGTCACGGCTGCTGTGGGACGAGGGGAGGTGTGTCCCACACCTATCCACCACGTGACCCAGGACCAGACCCTCCTCCCAGGGGCTGGGGACAAAGCTAAGTGCAGATATTCATGAGGAGCCAAGGCCCAGCCACATGGTGGGTGTATCTCTAGCAGGGTGTTCAGTAGATGGGACGGGGGGCCACCAGAGGGGTGCCCAGAGGAAGCCTGGTCCCCAGGCCGCTGTGAGACTGCGGGGGCTGGGCCTGCCCTGAGGTCCAGCTGCTGGGTCACCGTAGGTCAGGGAAACCTAGGAGCCTGAAGCAGCACACAGGCCACAAGGACCTCAGCAGGGCCCACCCTCGGGGGACCCAGGTGGTAGTGGTGGGCACGGCCCAAACACTTTGCACTCCTGGCCTGCCAGAAATGCTCAATAAAGGTTTATTTATTAAACACCTGTCATTGAACCTGAGGCACTCAGGGCTCAGACCATGTGGCCAAGAACCCGAACCCAGAACACATGGAAGCAGCAGCAACCAAGCTGCACATGCAGGACTCGCCCGCTTGGCTTTCCTGGCGAACCCCCACGCTCCCTTCCAGACACTGCCCGACTGTCTCCCTACCCTCTACGGCCGCACAGCGTGCCTTTTCAGGATGCAGGGGGCTCCCCAAGCACCACACAGGGAATGGACCGCTGACGTCCAGGCAGGGCCCACAGAAGCTGCGGGCCAGGCCCTAGTCTTCACATCCTCTTTCTCATTTTGCCCTTTTTAAAGGAGGCGCCCCGACCGAAGGCACCCCGCTGCAGCTCCTGGGCCCGGCGGCGGTTGCGGGCAGACAGCTGCTTGAGGCCGCCGCGCTGCAGGAAGCGCAGCTTCTGGGCTCGCTGCCGCTGCTTCAGGATCTGCTGCTTGGTCTTGAGCTCAGAGCGAATGCGGCCTGTGGTGGTGCCAGGGGCATGGGGCTGGGAGGCACCTGCTGGGACAGGATGTAGGGGCTCAGCTTCGGGCCAGGGGGGGTGGCCTCCAAGAGTCTCCCCTCCCTCATCCCCAAACACCCCACCTCTGCACTCATTGCTGTGGCCCCAGAGCCAGGTACCCGGGAGGTGCTTGGTAAGGACAGAAGAGGCAAAGTGAGAGAAAGGGCAAAGACAGCCAGGCAGAGGGCAGAGGTGAGGAGGCGCCATCTGCGAGGGCAGCAGGGCTGGTAGCAGAGGGCACCTTGTGGACGGGGCTTGAGGCCCAGGTTAAAGGACAAAGCTCAGGCAAAGACAGGAAGCTGTGACCTCTCATGGGGCTGAGGAGATGAGCAGGGCCCTGGGTGCTCAGAACATGGTCCAAGTCCCTCTCTCCCCAGGACAGGTGGCAGGCAGCAGGGGACCTCGGGCTCAGTCCCTACCCTGGGAGCTGTCTCAGTTTCCCCACCTGCAATATGGGTGTTCAGTCTTCTAGCCCCAGGCCATGTATGGCATGTCCAGGGCAGAGTCAGCTCCACCCTGCAGGTGGCAGCCCTCACCACAGAGTTGGGGTGGTGGGGCATAAGGGCATCGGGCTGCAGGTCCTCATGTGGGTTAGGATCTGAGGGGGGTGGGCGGGCACAGCTGCTCTACCCATCAGGCAGACCCTGGGCTCCCTAGTCAGCCATGCCAGGGTGGCCGCTGCACACAGACTCTGGCAGATGGTGGCTCCCAGCCTGGCCCTAGCATGTTAGTGGCACAGGGACCAGGCCATGCCCTGGGAGACCAATCAATCTACCTGCCAGTCCACACTGGAGGCTACCTTTCCTGACTGTAGGAGAGACTTTCTCACCCACTCCCCACCAGGCTGAGTCTCGGCTGCAGCTGCGGATGGAGGTACCCACAGGCAGTACCAACACAGCCACATGGTTGGTAGGGATGTAGAGACGCAGCAGCCAGGTCAAGGGCACGGAGGGAGAGTAAACATGGGTGGGGGCGGGGCCTGTGAGGAAGCGGGCAGGTGGGCCCTGGCAATGCCCACCTACCTGACCTGGCTCCAGGCTCTGACTCAGTTTTTCCCTGACTGTACCAGCTCATCCTGCCCACTTGCACACCACAGCCCAGCCCTCCCTCTCACCTTGGCCACGTCCTCGCTTGCCGCCTCTCCGAGGTGGGCCTCCACGGTCAGATGGGCCCTCCTCCTCCGAGTCGCGATCCTCAATTTTCTGTTTCTGTTTCCACTTCTGATAGCTGGGGCGACTCATTAAGGAAAGTGATAAGCACCTCTAGTTTAGGGCCAACTATGCCCCGACCCCCAGCAGCCACACACCTTTGGGGAAGCTGTCAGGCCCCGCCCTCCTTGGGCCCCACCCCTGGATACAGGTCCCTCTTGTAGGAGCTGCTGATGTAGCGGCCACTCTCAGTCTTGATCTTCTTCTTGTCTTCCTGTCCTGACTGCCCCACAAACCGCTTCTTCTTCCGGTCCCTGCAGGAGAGGGAGTTGGGGATGGTGGCCGGTTTCCTCACCTGACCCTGGCATTGGGCAGCTGGAGGCGTGGAGGGAAGCATGCCTACATGCGGCAGGTGCTTAGTAAAGGTCCCTTCCTGCTCCTCGCACAAGGGATAGGGGCTTCCTTGGCGGTTCATTTTCACCCACTACTTCCCGCTGTGGCCTGCCAGGCCAGCTCCAAGACTAGTTGGCAAAAGGACATGTGGGGTCAAGAGCCCTCTCTGAATGACCAAAACAAGAGGACAGGTCACCACTGATTCTGTGCTTCTGTGAGTGGCAGAGCAGGGGACAGGCAGGTCACTCACCACTTGAGCTGCTGCCGGCCTCGGGTCAGGTTCTGTGCCTCATCCCCCATCAGGTCCAGGACAGCGCCAGCTACCTGCTGCTCGAAGGCCTCTGTGGTGCCGACGCTCAGGCTGTAAGCAGCAAGTAGGAGATACAGTGGGGTTGGTGGGGCCCAGCAGCCTGGATGGCACCCCACAACCCACCAGCCACTCACCCCCGTTCACTGTCAAAGTCCTTGGGCCGGTAGGGGACGTAGAACTCCTGGTCTCGCTGCCGGGCCTCCTCCCTCCTCTTCTTGGCTCCTTGGTCAGGCCCTGACCTTGGCCGCTTCTGGCCCACAACCTCGATGAAGATGTCCTAGCAGGAGAAGACCGGGGTCATCCTGAAGCCCAAGGGACTGGCCTACCAGTCACATCCACGTCCAGCCAGGGATGAGGACCTAGGGGATTCTGGGCAACCAGGCAACTCTACGTATGATGGGCTGAGCAACCAGGCTCCTGTCCAACCCAGTGTGCTTGTCCTCAATGAAGCAGAGGCAGCCGGATGTCAGCTGCTGTGAGATCCTCAGAGGGTCTCTGCTGGGCAAGGTCCCACCCTGGGCCTGCACACACCCAGGTTTTAGCTCTGCTTTCCAGCCACCAAACCCTCTGTCCAAAGGAGATCCAAGAGGCTGTGGGAGGTGCAGGTCCAGGAAGCCCCTAGCCTGATGTGATGACAGTCATTCCAGGGCCCTCGCGCCCCAACTCCAGAAACCCAGCCCCTGGCACTGCTGCAGCACCCTGGCTGCTGCCCATGTCCTTCCTCAGCCCCTTCTCACAGCCTGAGGCTGGGGCTGCCGACGAAACTGCTACTGCTGTTGGCCACCCACAGGGCTCACACACACTGGCACCTGACTGGCTTGGCAAGTCTGGGGTCAAGAACCACGAGCACGCACCAGTGGTACGTGCGTGGGTCACCATACCATGGGGAAAAGGAGCTGGGCTCAGCCTGTGGGAAGCCACCCACCTTTCCAGCCAAGTGTCACTCTCTCTGTCCCAGACCCCACAAGGCACCCACTGGGATTCAACCCAGACCCCAGCCCGGCCCAGGCTCCTGGGGCCCTGGGCGCTGCATACCTCCACACCCTCTCCCTTGTCCTCTTCCTTCTCAGGCTGCTCCTCCACTGGCATAGGGCAGGTGGGGGCAGGATCAGCCACGCCTTCCTGTCGTTTCTGCCGCCCCCGCTGGAAGCGGGCAATGGCTCTGCGGTCCTTCTGCCGCTTGGCACGCATCACCTGGCTGCTCAGGTCCCGGCTAGAGGCATTGATCTCGAAGATGGTCTGCGGGGGCACCAAAGCCCACTGCCATTGGTCTCCATGCCGAGCTCCCAAGCATCCCACCCGGCATCTCTGCCACTGCGTGAGGTGGGCGCCTCACAATTAGAAGGCTCAAAGAGGTTGGGTAACTTGCCCAAAGCCACACAGCTAGGAGAAGCCAGGGCCTAGCTTCCACCTGAGCCCATGTGGTTCTGAGATGGGAGCTCTTGACCATGATATGGCCTGCTAATGCTGGGCTGGCAGCCATGCCAGCTGGAGGTCTGTCCTGGCTTCTGTGCATCCCAATCTGAACGCACACATGGGAAGCTCCTAGGAGCCAACAGAAGGGAGGGAAAGCCAAGTGTCCAAGACCAGGGCAGCCAGGTGCTATGAGCTGCAGGCTACTCTAAGTGGGGAGGGTGGCTGCTCCACAGGGACCTGCCAAGGGGCACACGGTCGGCCCAGGACAAGCTGGGTTGCAACACCCAAGCCAGCTGCAAGGTGAGAGGCTGCAAGCTCAGAAGCTCTGCTGGGGGGTTTTGCGGGGTCAGGAGGTAGCTGTTTGGTGACTCACCGCGCGGGAGCGGTATTGCTTTATGCCATCCACCAGCCTCAGCCGCTGCAGCTCTGCCTCCTCAAAGCGTGAGCCTAGGGGGTGGGATGGAGGTGAGACTGGTGGAGTCTGGGGGCCACCCACTGCCCTGCACCACGCAGGACTCACTGAAGAGCGGGTGCAGGCCCAGCCCCGCCAGGTCCAGCTCCTTGGCTCTCTTGATGGACTCGGGCGAGGGTGCGGGCCGTGAGCGCACGTACTGCTGCTGTGCATTGTCAGCCACACGGCTCAGGCCCCGCAGCTCCAGCGACGCTTCCAGCGAGGCCCGCAAGCCACTGTCCTCATCGTCGATCACAGTCTGTGGCACCCGGCCCAGCACGCCATCCACACTGCCTGCGCCTGCCACGGAGCCACGAGGTGCAAGGTGAGGGCCTCTCCCACAACCTGACCCAGGGACCAGGACCCAGGACCCCCGCCCAAGATGCCCAGCCAGACCCCGAACACATCCAACCTGGGTGACAGCCATGCCACTCAGTACAAGCTGCTTGCCCACAAACTGGGGTTGCTTCCTCCCGGGGTCAGAGCTGGGACACAAACCTGTTCAGCTGCATGCCCTGCTGTCTCCACAGATTCTGAGGGGACCCAAGCCCTACAAACCCCACTCACCTGCAGGCTCCTGACTGAGCTGGGCGAGGGTGAGGCCGCGGCCCACGAACAGGTGCAGGTCCAGCAGGTAGGGGAGCTCGTCTGGGGACACCAAGGAGTAGGCGGTACCACTTCGGCCAGCCCGGGCCACACGGCCTGCAGGAGATGGTTGGGCCTAGTTAGGACAGGAGAGGTCCCAAGGCCAGTGTGACTCACAGGTGCTGACCCAAAGGATCTGAGCCTGGCTGGGGTCCTGTCCCTCACCCAACTAGGCAAGGGCACAGACAGTCACCTGGGAAGGGCCCAGGAATCAAAACTGTTCTTTTTTTTTTTGCGGAACCGGGGATTGAACTCAGATCCTTGCGTTTGCCAGTCAAGCGCTTATCCTACTGAGCCATCTCCCCGGCCCACAACTGTTCTTAAGAATTCAGCAAAAACCAGAACGATGCACTGCCCTAAGCAGTAGCAGGTCTCTGGCTGCTCCGCCATTGAGAATATCCCCCAAACAACCAAACACACAGACCCCAATGCCAGTGCCTGAGGGCAGCTCTGACTAGAGCAGTCCTACATGGACACCACCTGACCCGTGACCACAAGGGGGCACTACACAGCTGGGGCAAGGGGCAGGCCCACTCTGGTCCCCTTCTTGCTTGTGTCAATAGTTTTATGGCCACGACCACATCCACTGATTCATTGACATAGTCTCCATGGCAGCCTTCCCAAGACTGTACATTCAGCAGTTATGGCGGCCCAGGGCGCTGCTCCAAAAACACCCAATACCTAGCCCTTTACAGGTCAGATGTGCCACCGTGCCACAAAATGACCCTTGAGCCTGAGTGGAAACACTCCTAGCACACAGCAATACCAGAGCAGGTTGAAGGAAGTAATACCCAATCAGGATTCCAGCTTTGGTTCAAGTATATCTAAGTACTGTACCACTGCATTGTGGCCCATTTCTGTATCTTTCTCTTTTTTTGGCCAGCTCAGCCCACAGTGAGGGTGGGGCTGGGGCAGCATGTGGTGCTGGGGATCAAACTGCGGTTCCCTGCACCTGCCTAAGCTTGCCTACACAGGCGCTTTAGACCACTGAGTTATCTCACTGGCCCCTCTGTATCTTTTTTGTTTGTTTTTGAGACAGGGTCTTAATATGTAGCTCAGGCTGACCGTGAGCTCACTATGTAAGCCTGGCTGGCTCCGGTGATCCTCCTGCCTCAGCCTCTTCAGTGCTGGGATCGCAGGTGTGTACCCACATGCCAGGGCCGTCCTGTACCTTAGGAAAACTAAGCTACCACATTTGGAAGTTTCACTGAGGTGACTTGTGGCCATGGACTGCATGATAAAGTCCTTGTGAGGGCTCTGAGGACCCCTTCAGGACACAAAACCAGCCCCCACAGAGCAGTGGGGACTGGAAGACGGACAGGGCACAGACCCAGGCTTGGGCACCTCCCACATGAGGGGCCCTCCCACCCCTTCACCCTACTCCTCCTAGGGCCACTCCTGGCCTGGCTGCTCACTTATTATTCCACCTGCTTCAACCCCACTACCACCCTGCTCAAACCGCACCACTCACCCACATTTACAAACACCCATGATGCCACCAAAAGCGACTGAGAGCGCAAGACCTGTGACCGCAAAACCCTCCCTGCTGCATCACACGCTTATGCCACGTCGCTGCCTTCTGAAGCAGTTGTGGACACCTTTCCGTGACTTTAGCTGCACTGCCCTGGCTGCCTCAATGTCCTGAATCAACTCCAACATTGCCCCTCCACGGTCACTGACTATGGCGAGGAGCCAGGTGCCCAGGGCTGCATCCAGGAGTAAAGCCCACGGGGCCACACCAAAGCCTTTCTGCAGGCAGGCAGGCCTGCCTGCCTGCCTTTCAACTACACCCCATAATGCCATTGCCAAAGAGGGCTTCCAGAGCTGCTGCAGAGGGTGGTCAACAGGCCGTGTGCGGGCTTCCCAGCACTTGGGAGGTCGAGGCAGGAGGACTAAGGAGAATTCAAGACCAGTTGGAACTTCATAGCATAATCCTACCTCAAAAACGAAAAAAGGGAGAAGTGTGTTCAAAGTTGGGGTCACCAAAGTTGGTGACCAGGGCCTGGGGCCCCTGCACACTGGTGCCGCTGCTCACCCACACGGTGCAGGAAGAGTTTGCCCTTGGCAGGGAAGCTGTAGTTGATGACGTTGTCGAGCAGGGGGATGTCCAGGCCGCGGGCGGCCAGGTCAGTGACGATGAGCGCGGAGCACTTGCTGTGCGTGAACCTGGCCAGGTTGATCTTGCGCGCGGTCTGGTCCAGGGCACTGTAGATGTGCGCGCAGCTCACCCGCTGGGAGCTCAGCAGCTGCGTGGGCGGAGGCGGGCGGTGAAAGGGGGACACGAAGAGAGAGCAGGCCATGGGGGCAGGGGGTGTGTGTGTGGGGGACCCCTGCCAGACACCCTGGGTTTGAATCAAAGACGGTCAGTGGCATCATGCACAGGGCTCCCGTGGGGCACAGTCCCGCCCTGCGGCGTCACCAGAAGCTGTGTGACCCTGGGCGAGTCACCGGGCACTTCTGTGCCCCACTTTCCTCAGCAGTAAGAGGGGAAACAATGGCTGCTCCGCAGCTCTGTCAGGATTCAGCGGTCAGCGCACCCAAGGCTGAGAACAGGAGGATCACCCAAATCTAGCTGTGTCCCCTCAGTCACTCTCCTGGCCTCTTTCGCTGGTGGCTCCAGCAGCAGACCACAGAGCAAGGGCCACCCAGCAGCGGCATTCCTTCCCGACAGAAGGCCAGGGCGTGGTTCGTGGGGCACCGAGATGCTCCGCCCTCTGTGGACAGGCGTGAAAACGCTGCGGGCGATGGGCTGCCTACCACAGACAGGCCTCCACTCAAAGCTCTAAAGAGCAGGCGCCAGGGTAGCTGTGATCGCGGTACTCCGGGAGGATGAGGGAGTAGGGGCACACGTCTGAGTCCAGGCTGGGCCACTCAGCAAAAGCCCTGTCTCAAAGTTTAAAAATGACTGAAAATGCCTGGGACATAACAGCACAAACGCCCTGGACTCAACTACAGTTCCGTGAAAGTGAATACAATTTAAAACTTAAAAATTTCACTACGCTGCAGAACTGTGATGGAAGGCGAGGCAGAGATGAACCCCTGGCCAGCGCCTGCCGGCATCGGCTGGGCCCAGGCAATGTGTCTGCCCACAGTTTCTGCAGGATTTCCACCTCCAGTTGTGAAGTGTGTGAGCCCGAAGTCTGGCCCAGGCCGGTCCCGAAACGCTGCCGCCCTCTGGTGGCCACGCTGGGGAATGCAGTGCCGAGTGACCACCAGTCCACTCACCTCCGTAAGGTATTCGCAGTGGTGCTTCGTGGCCACAAACACCACAGTCTGGTCCTGGGGCCGCACCACGGTGCGCAGCAGGTGCAGCAGCACAGCAGCCTTGGCATCCTCGCGTACCAGGAAGAAGGACGTCTATGGGGACAGGGCAAGGAGGTAGGCAGTCTGGGTCCACAGGCACCACCCTGGCCTCCAGCCTGGGACGCCTCCAGTCTGGGATGTCACCAGGTGCCGCCTCACCTTGAGCTGCTCATTGAGTTTGGCATCCACGTCCAGCCGGATGAGCACTGGCTCCGTAAGGCCTGTGTTCGGCAGAGGTGGGGGCGTCAGAGGGGCAGAAGGAGCCTGGACCCTGGTCCCATGGACAGCACCCTGAGCCACTCACCCGCACGAGCAAACTCCACCAGCAGCTTGGGCAGTGTGGCAGAGAACAGCACAGTCTGGTGGCCGCCAGGGAGCCGGCCAATGATCTCCTGTAGCTGCTCAGCAAAGCCCATTTCAAAGAGCCTGGAGGTGGGTAGGGGCAGGGTCACCAAGGGCTCCCACCCGCAAGCTGTTCCTATGGGTCACCATCTGCTACTGGCACCCATGCAGGGAGGGTCTCACTATGCAGCCCAGACTGGCTGTGACCGTATGATCCTCCTGCCTCAGCCTCCCGAGAGCTACAACCACAAGCACGTGCCAGAGCCAGGCTCACGCTCTCAACATTATTCTGTCTCGATCTCTTTGCAATCACAAGTTAGGTTTGTCATCTTTCAATGTTCCCAAAATGCACAATTAAAAGACAGTGGCGCAGGGCACAGAGCCCTCCTCCCGGCGGTCATCCCTCTGCTGTCCCATCCCATGCTGTGGCACACCTGCGGCCTCACCTATCAGCTTCATCGAAAACCACATACTCCACGCTCTGCAGCCTCAGGTTCATCTCCACAGCCACGTGCACCAGCCGCCCCGGCGTGGCGATGATTCTAGGAGGGGACACACTGGGTCACCCCTGGACTGTAGCCACCACTCTGTGCTCCCCAGTCCCCTCTGCGGCCATTCGGAGAGAGACCCCGAGCAACCCCCAAGCACAGGCTCAGACTCACATGTCGGGGTTCTCGTGCAGGGCTGCAAACTGGTCTTCCATTCTGGGGAGGAGAAGATGGGTCAGCGGGACAGAGGAGGGCACTTTGTCACGAATCCCCACGTCCTGTGCTCGGGATGGAGTGAGGGACAGCTGTGGCTGGGATACTAGGCAAGGGCATGGCCCCTGTCATGGAAGTGAGCGGGAATGCAGGGAGAGATCAGAGCTCCCTGGGCCCTTCAGGGAGTCACCAAGCCACCAGCCCTGGGACTGTAGGCCTCGACCTGAACCCAGGGCCTCTCACTGCGATGCGTTGTCCTTAAAGCCTCGGGTACACACCCCTAACTCTTGTCCTTCCCAAGATGTTTTTGGGGCAGCTGTAGGAGCAGAATCCTGGGCCAAGGATAACTCGGGAGGTCGAGGCCTGTGACCCGCCCTGACAACAGAGATAACCACAGTGGGCAAAAGGCTAAGAAACAAGGCTGGAGACATAGCTCAGTGGCATAAGCACCTGCCTGGCAAGTGCAAGGGTCCCGAGTTCAATTCCTAGTACTGCAAAAAAAACCAAACAGGCTAATAAGCAACACTCATTCAGAAGCAAGAGCCGGGCATAGTGGCACACGCCTGATATCCCAGCACTTGGGAGGCTGAGGCAGGAAGATCACCATGAGTTTGAGGCCAGCCTGGGCTACAGAGTGAACTCAAGGCCAGCTGGAACCACATAGCAAGACTTTGTCTCAAAATAATACTCTGAGAGTGACCACTGGCACAGCCCCTGGAGAGAAGTGGGGGGTTGACTTCCAGTGGGGCAGGACAGGCACTCGGCATGCCCTGCAGCCCAGATCACTGGGGGGCTCGGAGTTAGCCCACTCTTCAGTCCACTCACCTGTGAACTCGTGTGCACCTGCTGCCTTGGAAGGACATGAGCCCAGTAGGACACAACCCTTTGTGTTTCGTTTATCTTTCGAGACAGGGCCTCACTATGTAGCCCAGGCTGGCCTTGAAGGCATGGCAATCCTGCCTCAGCCTGCGAGCACTGGGATCACAGATGTGAGCCTGCGCCTGGCTGAAAGGAGCCTTACGAAGCTGAGCGCCACAGCACTCCCTGACTTCTGCACATCCCGCTCTTTTCGTGTTTCAGTGTGCTAAGGGTGGAGCCTCGGCCAGCACTCTGCCTCTACCGCTGAGCCAAGTTGTAGCCCCGCTCCCTGCTTTTCAATGGCTCCCGATGAATGAGGCCCACATGACCCAGGACTTGGCTGTCCAGGACCTGTCCGGGCCGCAGTGCTGCCCTGGCCACCACGAGTCCCCTGCACACCAGCCCTTTCAGGTATTTCTCTTGAATGCACAGAGATGCACTGCTATTAACAAGCAGCACAGGCGCCTCGGCTGAGAGCCCTGAGACGAGAGGAACCCAGTGAGTGACCACAGCAGCGTGGACAGTCGGGGGAGTCCCTTACTTGTCTCCACCCAGGATCAGGGCTGTCTTGAGGCCAGTGAACTTGCCCAGCTGTGGAGAGAGAGAGATCTGTCAGCCCCTCCCAGCCCGCCTGGCCCCAGGACCCCGCTTGCCTGGCTGCTGCTGCCCCCACACACCTCCTTAGTGAACTTCATGGTCTGCAGGGCCAGCTCCCGGGTGGGCGAGAGGACGAGTGCCCGGGCGCCGGTCTGGCCGCTGCGGGTCCTGAGCCGCTCAAACATGGGGATTAGGAAGCACGCCGTTTTGCCGCTGCCGGTCCGCGCCATGGCTACCACGTCCTTGCCATCCAGGATCACCGGGATGGTCTATGGGGACACAGGCAGGTGAACTAGGGTCTCAGTGAATGGGCAGGGCTGTCACCTAGCCCCGGTCCCATTCCTGCCAAAAGCTGTTTGCACGCTTCCACGGACTGGCAGCTCACTACCTACAAGCCCTGCCATTGCTAGAATCCCTTTACGGGAAAGCCAGACTCTGCCTCTTGGCCTCGTCCTCCTCCTGCTTGGGCCCTGAGTGGGTCCATGCTCAGCTAAATGCCTAAGCTTGATCCCAAGCCTGGAACCACCCAGAGAGGAGCTAAGGCAGAGCCCACGGCCAAGCCTCCACTTTGCAGGGACCAAGCCTCCCTGCTGCACAACAGGTAAGCTCTGTGGGGTTTCAGCAGCAGATGGGGGCAGGAGATGGTGCAGCAAGAAGCTGTCATAAGGCTAGACAGGAAGACCAAGTCACTCACCCCTGCCCACCCCACCAGTCTGCCCAGCCCTCACCTTCCTCTGAATGGGCGTCGGCACTTTGTAGCCCTTCTTCATGATGCCCTTGAACACTGGGTAGCTCAGACCTGGGAGACATGGGGACAATGGTCAGGGGTGGGGGATACCCACGCGGCACGGGAGCTTCAGAGGACAAAGGCCTGGCCCACCCAGGGGACAGATGCATGAACAAAAGGTAAGAAAGCCGCGATGCTGGGCCTGGTGGTGCATGCCTATCATCTCCGCTCTTGGCAGGCTGAGGCAGGAGGGCTGAGTTCGAGGCCAGCCTGGACTACACAGACCTTGTCTTGAAAAAAATTTCAGAAAGTGCTAAAGCAGAAACTAGATTAAGTGTGACTTAGGAGATAAAGTCTTCTGATGGCAAAGGATGAAGCTTATGTGGGCTCTGGCGTGAACACTCTCTGTGTCATGAGACAACAGGGTCCCTTGGGCTGGGGGGGGGGGTAGCTAGCCCAGCAGCACAGTGCCTGCCTGGCAAGAGCAAGGTCCCGAGTTTCATTCCTGGTACCAAAATAATAAGTAAATACAAATAAAAGTGACACTGAGGACTGTGCCCTTGTCCTGGATCTCCAGGGAAGTGGGTACATTTACAGACGCACCTCTGGGCTGAGCAGGCTGGGAGTATGTGAGACCCATCTCTCCACTTCCCCACATGCTTGAAATTCTTGGCCACTAAAAAAAGGATGCCAAGCCCCCCGGCTCGGGATTGAGCCTGGAGGAGTGGTGAGAGCTGGGTGCTGGTCTTGGGGACGGAACCCGACTAGAGCCTGTGGGGCAGGCGAGCAGGGGATATCGGGTCCTTGGCTGCTTTTCAGCCATTCCTTCCTCTCTGGGGTGCAGGAGGCAAAATCCAGCCTCAAGGAACGTCTTCATTTTGCCCAGTGAAGTCTGGCATGTGGTTGTCAGCCAGTCTATAGACAGCTTCTGCAGAAAGACCTCCTGGGTCATTTTTCATCCAAATCTCCATGTCTTCTTTTTTGTTCTGAGATGAGGTCTCACTATGCGGTCTGGTCCTCACTCTGCCATTCCCATTGGCCTTAAACTCACAGCGATCCTCTTGCCTCAGCCTCCTGAGTGCTGGGATGACAGGTGTGCGCCGCCATGCCTGGTGGTCTGACTTTTCCTTATTCTTAAAAATTCTTTGTGTGGGAGGGATGTTAGCCCTGTCTTCCCCATGCGGCCTGTAACTTACTTTGCAGTGCTCGCCAGCATGCATATGTCCGATTCAAAAGGAGTCAAGTGAAACAGGCTTCAGGCCCCAGCTGGAAAGGGTTCCTTTTCCCTTTTGAGGCTCTGAAAGCATCCCCTCAGCTTCACGTACTTACACTGGCCCTGACGCACTGCAGATGAAAGTCTAGGCTTCACTCTTATAAGCCAAGCTCTCACCTCTGAGCCCCAACTCCAGCTCTTTTAAGACAGGATCTACATTATGCAGGCTGGCCTCCAACTTGCAAACTTGACAGCCTCCCAAGCAGCTTCGATTAGGCAGCTGTGCACCACCACTCCCAGCTCCCCTCTCACTCAGATCTGCATCCCACCAGCTGCGGCCCTGTGAAGCCACGTGCGACCTCAGCCTCCCACCCCGGCCTGGGTGCTGAGCCAGAGCAGGCGGCAGTACCTGGCAATAGAGGTGGCTGGTCTCCCCGAGATCCCCAGCCCCAGCCTAGCTCGCTTACGCACCCATGGACTGGAACCCCCCGGACTTCTTCTTCTTCTTGTTCTGCGCGCGCACCATCTCCCGAGTGTCCAGCTCCGCTTCAGAGGTGTAGTCTGCTGCGGGGAAGCTGAGCAGGGGGCGGCCGGGTCCCTGTTGGGTGGGAGGAGCAGAGAGGCAGTGCTGCCATGGGGTCGGGGTTGGGAGGACTGTGCTGTCCTCCCCTTGGGCCACAGCCACCACGTGTTTGGTCACCGACTTCAGGTTGCACTGGTCACTGCCTGCCCAAAGGACCTGCCTCGGAATCCAGTTCCCCTTACCCCCGTACAAAAATATACATCCTGTCTTCTGGATGTTTGGGGACACTACTAGAGATTGAACCCAAGACCTTTGCACTGAGCCACATCCTCAGCCCCTTTTGTTTAAATTTTAGTGTATTAATATATGGGTTGGTAAGTCACCCCGATGGGTCTCAAACTTGTGATCCTCCTGTCTTAGCCTCCTGGAGTGCTGGGTGTAATCTTCTCCTGCCAACGTCCACTTACTCATCCCTGCCCCTAAAGCCCAGTGTGCCCTGCGGCCAGCAGCCACTGATGGGGCACAGATCCTGCGCCAACTCGGCGCCCAACCTGTCTCCCGCATCCGTAAACATTAAGCGCTCAGAAGTGGGCGTGGTACACTAACTGATCAGCAATTACGGCACATGTCTGTTATTAGTTTCCCAGAGGTCTAGGGGTCCGGCTTCCCCCTAACACGGTTCGCTAAGAACCCCGAAGTCCGACCTTCCGCACGCGCACTTCCCATTGGACGAATGCACCCTGGGAGGCGGAGGCAGCCAATGAGCGCGCGCGATCCGAGGCGGCGGCAGGCCCACCGGCTCCAGAGGCCCGAGCCGAGGCTCGCCGGCTGGCCGGGGTGCCACAGACCCCGGGACACGGGTTCGGGCGGGCGGACCCAGCGGGTTCTCTCCACCTCACCTGGGGAAGCCGAGGCCCCGGCGCGCGTCCCTGCCCCGCGCTCCTACCTTTTGCGCCCTGGCGTCATCTTCTGCCTGAACTTCAAATCCACCATCCTCTGAGTCGCTGGCGTGGCCCTGGGAGACTGCGCCTCTGCGCTTCCGGAGCCCCTTCTTCTTCTTCCACTGGGCCATGGCAGATGGCGAACGCGGTCCAGCCGCCGCACGTCTGTGAGCCGCCATGCGGGCCCTGGCGCTAGGAACCCGGAAGTGGGTGGAGCCTTCGGGACGTACCAACTGCGCAGCGGCCGGGGGTGGTGGTGGGGGACGCGTCCAGTCGGCCTCGCTGCGCGCTCCTGGACTGCCGCCCAGGAGGCCTGAGCACTCATACCAGACTCGCTGGAGGCCCTCCGCATATCTTCGGAGGACTCGTGGCCATCGAAGACGGGGCGTCCTCCACGAACCCCGCGACATGAATGGTCCGGCCCCCATCCGCCTTATTGCGGCTACTTGGTTGCTGGATGCGCACGCCTAGCACGCGTCACTAGAGCCCAGTTCTCGAGCTGAGTCCCTGTGCAGGGTTTGGGCGGCCTGAGTTGCCTGGGGTCCCAGGGCCCGGGGCGTTCCAGGCTGCAGATTAGGACCTTGGATGCAGTGCACTCCGCGGGTTCCTGTGCTCACCCGCCGAGGGGTCCAGACCTGGGGAGAAGGAGGCGCGGGGAGGATATGCCGATGGTCGTACCCAACGCCTGCCAGCCAACATGCTCAGGTAGGAAAATAACCCAAGAATGTAGGGACCACAGAATGAGGGGAGGACTGCAGACCCTAAAGAGCAGAGCGGTTCCGTGCACAAACTGGGTTCCTCTCAGGTTCCCATTCTGCTTGCATCCTTAGCTTTATGGGCGTGACCCACACAGCCCTTCACCTTTTGAGCCACAGGTTTGTGATCCATAAAATGTGTATAATCCAAGCTACTTCACGGGGCTGTTGGGGATTAAATGACAATGTATGTAAACCTCAGTGCACGAGGTAGGCATGGGATCCATACTGCTGTCCTTGCCGCCTCCCCCCCCACATCCGTATACACCACACGCAGGGAACTCTTTCCTACCCACACTGTGATTTATTTTTCCGGTTGGTGCCATCTCTCCTTCATACCCCAGTCATTCTATAAATATTTGTTGAACACACTGCTAAAAGTGCTCTTTAATTTATTCATTAAGCCTTCGCCAGTAAGAACTCCCTTTCCCATCATGACGACAGAAAAAGTCCAGTTTCAAGACTGTCCCCAGAGCCAGCAGCTCCTGTTGGAGGAGGATCTAGAAATGGAGGTGGGGACTCCAGGGTCTGCCCCTTCCCGCCTACCGCCATTGGCTTAGAGGTACCTCCTTGGCCGTTTTCACAGGGAGCCCCAAAGACCTCCTGGCGGGCCAGGCGCCTCTGCTGTCACCCAAGGCAACATGCGGCATGGAGATCCCCGTGAAGCAGGCCATCCGTGGGACGCAGGCCCAGCACCTTCAGCTCCGCAGTCGCAGCCGGGGCGGCTGTCGGGTCAAGGCCAGGGCATCCTATGTAGATGAGACTCTGTTTGGCAGCGCTGCGGGCACCCGGCCTCTCTTACCAGACTTTGACCCACCCTGGGTGCAGAAGACTAGTAGAGCCAGAGCAGTGGGCTCCAAGGCGTTACAGAGCTCTCCAGGCAAGGGGAGCTGTGAGGCCACCCCCTCCGGGGGCAGTACCCCAACCCTCATGCCAAGGAAGAAGAACAGATACAGGTAACTGTGTGTGGGGGCGAGGGGTGTTTCCTTTACTCAGCACACTCACCTGAGGTCCCACCACAGCCCTGCTGGCTGTTCACTTACAAGGTGACTTGGCCAAGCACACTGACCTCTCTAAGCTGCAGTGTACATATGTGGAAAACCGGAACAAAGATCCCTCCATAGAAGGATTGTGGGTTATATGATAGTAAGTTATACTGTGCTTGGCTGTCAGTCAATGTGGTGGTGATGATTGCAGTGTTGGGTCCCCTGCCACATATGTGGTGAATGGTATGTCCCAGGCCCAGAGAGGTCAGGCGCCTCACCCGGATCGCAGCACAGTCTGGGATAAGGCATGAAATGATGGGACTCGTGGCTGTTTCTGCATATTAGCAAGTCGTTTTGAGAATGGGTCTGGCTGTGTCTTCATGAATAAATTAGAGAACATGAGCGCTGATGGTAATAGTTGTTGTTAGTTAATTAGAATTTGATTATTCGGTTTAATATCTGCCTGGAGCGGGGAGTGGTAGTACATGCCTGAAATCCCAGGAAGCTGAGGTGGGAGGATCACTGTGAGTTTGAGATCAGCCTGGGCTACATAGAGACACCTCCTTATCCCCCAGCCCCGTCTCAAAAAAAAAAAAAAAAAAAAAAAAACAGCCTGGAGAGCAGTATCTAATGAAGAGCTACAGAGCTCTGTCCTGGCATTGTGGCCAGTGGCTTGTACAAAGACGCAGAAGCTTGGTATACAGGATGGTGTGCGTAGGCTACATGCAAATGCAGCAGTACTGCTCCATTTATGAGGGGCTGTGGATTTGGGGCCTCGCTGGACCCCTGGAACCAATCCCATGGAACTAAGGGATGGCTATGCTTGGGACTCTCAGTGGTAAGTGACAGCAAATTTGCTGAAACAGACTTCTATAGAGAAAGAGCTCTTAGAGTTTCTGTAATGGGTACCATGGCGATGACCAGTCTCCATCTGCTGCTTTTCCTCCCCCGTGTGACCTCATTTCTAGGAGGCTGAGATGGCCTTGAGTTGCTTTGAGCTGATATCCTTGTCAGTTTAGGAAGAAGCAGCCTGGGTGGCAAAAACATCCCTTTCCTAGTTTCAGCAAAGATCCTAAAACAGGACCAGGAATGGTGGCATGTATCTATAATCCCAGCACGCAGAAGTCTGAGGCAGGGGATTGCCATGAGTTCAAGGTCTGCCTGGGCTACATAGTGAGTTCAAAAATAGGTTGAACTAAACAGTCAAACCCTGTCTCAGAAATAAAAAAAGATCCTAAGGTAGGCTCTCATTGGACAGACTTGGGTCATGTGACCTTGCCTGAGCCAATCAGTGTAGAGAGCAAGCTGAAATACGCAAATTAGCCAGGCCTGGGGCTCTTGGCCGAGAATAGGGTCAGGGAGCTGAGGGACTGGACATTTTGCAGGGGAAAACAACAGAAATGAGGAGGGTGCTGCAAACACTGTGGACTTACTATGGGGGCCAGACTGAGAAGCAGGGACGCTAAGGAGGGCAGCGCTCTTCTGTTTCTGGGGGTGCCTGCTTGGGACTGGGATGAGGACCATTCAGACCTCAGCTCACCCGCGTGTTGCTCTCCCCTCTCCCAGACTGATCGCCCACACTCCGTCTTACTGTGATGAGTCGCTCTTTGGCTGCCGGCCTGAGGACACCAGCTGGGAGGCCTCCCGCCTGGCAAAGGGGGATGCTTCGAAGCTGCACAGCCTCTTCTGGACACCGCCTGCCACCCCCCGGAGCAGTGACTCTCCCAGCCCCAGGGAAGCCCCACTGGGTGCTGTTCATCCAGGTGATCCTTCCAGAACACAGCCCCAGGGGGCAGCTGGCTCCCCCAGACTCTCCTTGTTCAGCTCCGATGCCCTGCGCCCTCTGAGGCAGGAGCGCTCCCATTCCCTCACCTGCCTCAGCGTCCCCAGTGCCCCCCACACAAAAGGGACTCAGGACCCCAGGCCTTCCCCTGCAGGGGTGACATTCCGGACTCCCCTGGTGACTCCCAGGGCTCGCTCAATCAGTGCTTCAGTGCCAGCTACCTCCCGGCGAGGCAGGGCCACCCAAAATCCAAAGCCCCCCTGGAGGTGAGCTGCTCTCACAGCTTGCCTGTGGGGTCCCTGGAAGGGATGCCGCATCTTCTGGATCCCCTTGCTGGAGAAGCTCCGCAGGCCCAGTGGCACAGAAGGGCTGTGCCTCCCCACTCCACTTGCTCCTTGCCTTCTCTCTCCCTAACATGCCCATGAGCTGCTCTGTGAGACATTCCCCCTGGTCTGGCCTGGCCACACCACTAATCAGTGCCAATCTAGGGCCTCTGCCTCCCACTGTCTGGTGCCCACGTGTGATTTGCCAGCCAGGAGGGGTCCTTCCTTCCCTCCCTTCAAGCCAGCTTCCTGCTTAGGACTCAGGTCCGCCTGAATCTGGAGGCTATAGAGGAGCATTCTCTGAAATCTGTGTGCTTATGTCCACGTATTAAATATATCTGTAGCTCATCAAAGCCACAAGTGTCACTAATTTGGTTTGCCCTTAGCATGGTCACGGTGAGACCTGAGCTCCCTGCGCGGTTAGAGCTGCTCCTGGGAACCCAGTGTCCTACTCAAGTAACTTGGACTTTGGGTTCTTGCCCCCCTGCCCTCTGCACTGTATTCAAGGGAGCCCAGGGGGAAGCCTCAGCACAGGGTACCATGGTGCCTTTATTCTCAGGAAGGGGAGGTAGATAACACACAAGGGACCTCGGTGGCCAGGGCCAGGGCCAGCATCTGAAAGCCTGCAGGGGTCAGATGGGCCACAGGAGAACCAAGTCAGCTGCACTCAGCACAGACAGACTTCGCACTTTGTGTTGGGCTTTTGAGAATGGGGTCTCATTGTGTAGCTCAGGCTATCCTGGGACTCTCAGCGATCCTCCTGCCTCAGCCTCCCAAGTGCTGGGATGACAGGCACATGCTGTCACATCCAGCTAATGCATTGTGAATGTGTAGGATGTCTTTAAACTGCCTAAAACTTCAACCAAGAATTAGGATACTGGGGCCAGGGAGATGGCTCAGTGGAATAAGCGCTTCCCTGGCAAGCGCAAGGGCCCGAGTTCAATCCCCAGTTCCGCAAAAATAAATAAATAAATAATAAAATAAAATGTATTTAAAAAAAAAAAAGAATTAGGATACCACCCTCCACCCACCGTCATTTGCCTTCCCCCCACCCTTCCAGGAGGTCCGCCAACAATGCCTCTTTGCTCCCATCTGCATGCGCTAAGGAAGGGCAGTTGGCCCCAGGCCGTGGTGCTGGGGTGGCGCTTGGCACGGTGGTGACAGGACGACCTGCAGTTTGCCATCTAAGGGGTGTGTGGCCTCTGTGCGCACAAGCTTGACATCCTCCAATGTGGCTCCTTTGGCGCTCTTTGCCCAACAGAGTTCCCCTACGGGCAGCTGTGACCCATACCTTGCTGTCCAGTGGGGACTCATCTGTTGCAGCCATTACAGCTTTGGGCCGGCTCAGAGGGCTGCAGGCCAGGTCTTGGCCCCTCCCGAGGCTATCCTGGGTTGGCTGCCCACAGCCCACAGCCCGGGGCAGAGAAAGGTTCACTGGTAGTGTTGCCTTGCATGTAACTTAAAACTTTAAATTCTTTTTTTTTTAATTAATTAATTTATTTATTTTACATTTATTTATTGTGTGTGTGTGTGTGTGTGTGGCCAGCTCAGCCCACCAGGGGGCGGGGCTGGCTGGCATGTGGTGCTGGGGGATTGAACCGCGGTCCCTGTGCTTTGCCAAGCTTGTTCCAAATAGGTGCTTTAGACCACTGAGCCATCTCACCAGCCCAAAACTTTAAATTCTTTTAATTGGAAAGACTCATTCGAGCCATGAATGGCAGGACCCCGCGTTCTGGTGCCATGCTGGCCTGACCTTGACCCTGGCTGGGCTGCAGAGGGGCTTACTTCTTGCCCTTGCCCTTGCCCTTGTCCTTGCCCTTGCCCCGCTTCTTCTTCTTGGAGCGCAGCATGGAGCGCACCAGGTAGCCCTTCCACACAGCCTGGATGAGTGTGGCTGCCCGCACCATGCGCAGCATCTCGCGCTCTGCCTCCAGCCTCTTCTTGGAGCTGATGGCACGCTCAGCCTGGATCTGGCTGAACTCCTCCGCCAGCACCTGGTGCCGCTGCTTCAGCTCCTCCAGCTGCTGCTTCTCCTCCCTGTGCATCACCTGCAGGTCCTCGAACTCCTCCTGGCAGAGGACAGGCAGGGCACGGCTCGGAGTGGACCCTGCACCCCAGCCTTCCCAGGTGGACGCAGACAGGAGGGAGGCCATGGCCCTGCCTGTTCTGGGATGAGCCGGCTTAACTCATGCTGGGGCAGGGAAAGAACCTGGATGTGAAGGACCCCAAGAAACTTCACTTTCTAAGCCTTCTTATTCCAAAGCCAGGGCTATTTCTTTTTTTTTTTTTTTAATTTTTATTTATTTATGTGTGTGTGTGTGTGTGTGTGTGTGTGTGTGTGTGTGGCCAGCTCAGCCCACCAGGGGGCGGGGCTGGCTGGCATGTGGTGCTGGGGGATTGAACCGTGGTCCCTGTGCTTTGCTTAGCTTAGCTTGTTCTAAGTAGGTGCTTTAGACCACTGAGCCATCTCACCAGCCCCGCCAGGGCTATTTCTGGGATCCAATGGTCTCAATGAGGGACGCAGGGCACAGAGGGACCGAGAGAATCCTCAGTAGCCAGGGAAGAAGTGGGTCTTGCGGAGAACTGGGATAGGTGGTTCTGTGTCCCAGGCTGCTCCCCGGAACCTTCCTCTGTCTAACACAGCTGTCACAGGACCTTCTGCCCTTCCCTGTGCCTCTTGCTCTGTCCCTGCTCACCAATACCCAGCAGCAGGCATCTCCCGGGAGCAAAACACTAGGCACAGTGCAGCTGCTACCCACGGCCCTTGCTGTTTGTGGTGCCAGCCAGGTGTAGAACTCAGAGCCCTGGACGGAGCAGGGCTCCCAGGTTGGGCTCATGGGTCCTCAGGACCACCTGGGCTGGGGCAGGAGCCCAGGAGCTCCCCTCCTGTAAGCTACCACTCCTACAACCACTTGCAGGAGACCCGCCATGACCCACGACAAATCACTGCTTCCTGACCAGAGAGGGCCCGGCCTGACTCCAGGTCACACAGCTGGTATGCCAAGATTGGCATCTTGGAGGGGAAGGGGGATTTTGTTTCCTCCCCCCTGGCTCCCTTCAGGCCTGCGAGACCATGGAGTGGTAGAGGCAGGGGTCTGAGTGGTGCTGCAGGGCTGCAGGGGAGGCTGGGAACATAGGCTAGACTGAGGACATCCAGGGTCCCTACTTCAGGTTTGGGAAAAGCACAAGAAAGAGACTTAGCAACAAATACCTGCTTTTCACCCATCTCTGTATCATATTTCTGAATCCAGTTCTCCACTTCTGTCTCCACTTTGTATTTTTTCTAAAAAGAAATCCAAACAGTCATGGTCTAGTCCATGAATAGTGACCAGCATGGAGCACTGTGTGTCATAGGTTTAGCAGCCAGTGCTCTGCCTGCCCTACCTCCTAGAGGAGTACTCAGTTGCCCATTTCACAGATGAGGAAACTGAGGCACAGACATGATAATTTGCTTGCCCAGTTTGATAAGAGCTCCTGGGTGGTGGAACCTGGATTTGAGTCAGCAGTGTAGGTCCAGAGCATTGTAGGCAGAGAAAGTGGCCTGTGCAGAGCCCCTGAGGTGGGAACAGGCTGGTGGTGATTTGGGCATGGCAATGGCGTGCCTGCCTGTGATCCTAGCACTTGACAGGCTGAGGCAGGAGGATCACTGAATTCGAGGCCCACCCAGACTACATAGCAAGACTGTCTAGAAAGGGAGGGAGGGAAATCAACCAGGTTAAATATCAAGTGGATTCTCATGTGAAAAAACCCAGAGTCTACATCATTTAAAGAACAAAATAAAAGGTAGATGATAGGAGATAAGGTGACAGACTTCATGGAGATGAGAAAGGACTAGGAGTGACAGGAGGGAGGGAAGGGGAAGAGGAAGTAAAATGGAACGAAATGTGATATGTGGCTGCACATGGTGGAGCATGCCTCTGATCCCAGCGGGAGGCTGAGGCAGGAGGATCGCTGTGAGTTCCAGGCCAGCCTGGGCTCCATAGTGAGTCCAAGGGCAGCCTGGACTGTGTAGTGAGGCCTTGCCATGGTACAGGGGCTCTCAGCCTGTGGGTGGGCTCCTTCAGGGCTGTGACCCCCCAGCACAGTCCCCAGGCAAAGCCTGGGTATCTACACCTGTGGTCTGAGCACAGGGTCATGATTTCCATTAAATGCTCAAAAATGCCTGGGAGAGGGGGGCCTGCTAGGAGGTGAGTGTTAAGAAGGGACCTTTGCGTGGTGAAAGCCCGGGAAGCTGGATGTGGGTGGCCCTGGGCTGGCAGGGAATGCTCCAGTAGACCTGCTACACCCTGCCCCCTCTACTCTCCACGCCACCAGTTTCCTCATTCTCATAGCCTGGCTGTCAACACCGAAGCTCAGAGACTTGAGTTCAGTTTGCCTGAGGTTCATGGCTACTTTGATCCTTTCCATCCAAGACTGGGGACTGTCAACCACCACTGTGGTCACAGCCAGCATGCAGCCACACTGAAAAAGGACCGCGTCTGTCGCTTCGGCCTCCAGCACTGCCTTCCCTGCGCGTGGGCTAGCCCTGCTTGGCCCAACCCCTAGCCAGGACACCTTCCCCATTGCACCCACCCCAACCCGGGCCTCCTGGACTCACACCTTGCGCAACGCCTGCTCCACCTCGTGGTTCTCCGACACCAGGTTGTGGTACTGCGCGCGCAACGTCAGGATCTCCTGCTGTGTCTTGGCCATCCTGACCTGCGAGGCGCGGAAGTCCGCCTTCTGCTGCTTCTCGGCCTCCTGCCTGGTGCGCAGCAGGCTTTGCTCCGAGAGCTTGAGCACCTGGTGCAGGTGGTTCTTCAGCTCCTGGATCACGAAGTTCTCCTTCTCCACCTGGCGGGGTGGGGGAAGGGCTCTTAACTCCCGCGGGGGCACCCTCCGGCCCAGAGCGCTGCCCCCGCTACCCACCACCTGCGTGACTGCCGCCCACAGAAGGGAAACGGAGGCCCAGGGAGGCCGAGGAGACAGTCTGGGGTCGTGAAGCCAAATGGCGCGCGCCTGTAATCCCAGCTCTTGGGAGGCTGTAAACAGGCGGATCACCGTGAGTCCCATCTACTAGTGAGACTCTGAACACCCTGTAGGCCCTGACCTAAAGTACAAAAAAAGAAAAAAAAAATGTGTCTGAAGCAGAGCCCATGTTCCCAGCCACCCTTCACAGGTCTGGGACAACCCTGCTGCCCCACCCCACCTTGTCCTGCGCGTGGGGAGGGGCAAGTGGGCAGACCACTAGCAGGAGGCAGGAAGGTGTGGGATCTACACTGCCAGGATCGCCTTGGGGCTATTCCTGGCCAGTCAGTCCCTGGCTTGTGTCCTGTCCAAGGTTGATTCTAAAACAGGAATGGGGGGCTGGGGAGATGGCTCAGTAGAATAAGCGCTTCCCTGGCAAGCACAGGGTCTGAGTTCAATCCCCAGTTCCGCCAAAATAAATAAATAAATGAATAAAATTAAAAAAACAAAACAAAACAGGAATGGGGTGGGAGGATGGTGATGTTTTAGTTATGATTTTCTCTCTCTTTTTTTTCTTGCGGTACCAGGGATTGAACTCAGGACCTTGCGCTTGCCAGGCAAGCACTTATGCCACTGGGCTATATTCCCAACCCCACTCTTCTGGCTGTGAGGATTGAACTGAAGGCCTTTGCACTGAGCGACATCTCCAGTCCTTTTTATTTATTTTGAGACGGTCTTGCTAAGCTACCCAGGCTGAGCTCGAACTTTCAGTCTACTTTCCTCAGCCTCCCAAGCGTGAGCTACCACGCCAGGCTTGAGGATGGCACTGTTTTAGGAGCAAGCTCCAAAGGCTTCTCGCCGACCCGCAGGAGCAATGGCCCTCATCAGCGAGAACCACGGGGCTCTGACCTCACTTCGGGCACGAGTGGGCGGGGCTGTCTGTGGGTGCCCTGGCCCCCGCGTGGGCAGGGTCCTTAGCAGCCCGAGCTTTTCTGGCCAGTCCCTACAACAAGGCTGGCCAGGTTCATCCCTCATTCTTCACCGAGGCCCGATGCCAGGATGAGATTTGCCCACCTAGAAAGACCAGTCCAACCTGAAGAGCCCAAGTTTCAATTCACAGCGCCTGACCCGTCCTAGACAAAGTCCCCTCCAATCTTACATGTGACGACCTTCCCTGGGTAAGCACCCCTGGGCCTGTCACCTGCTGAAACACAAGCATGTCACACCCCTCTTTGTGCTGGGCTTACTGGGGATGGAGCCCTGTGTTTTTGTCGAGGAGCCAGACCTAAATCAATCACAACGCTGAGCGAGAGAGAGCACACCTATAACCCGAGCACTCGGGGAGGCTGAGACAGGAGGATCGGAAGAGTCCAGCAAGGGCAAATTAGTGAGCCCTGTCTCAAAAGGTCAGTGCACAGACCCTGAGTTCAGACTCTAGTAACAACCCCCTCCCCAATAATCCCACAAGTATTTATTAACGAACTCTGATGACTGTCTCAGAGAGGACTATGCAGGGAGGGAGGTGGCACATAGCTTCCCAGGTCCTGTAGCTCCCTTTTTTTTTTCTTTTTCTTTTTCCATAGTTTTATTGAGAAATAAAGAGCAATGAGACAGTTTCAAATCAAATTGGTTGTATCTCCCTTTTGCCCGGCGCACTGACAATGGCGTCTGTGACCACCCAGGCCCTCAAGCAGCCGGGACCTGCTCTCTCCCCAGTCCGGTGTGTGGCCCGGGATGTGGACTACCTTTCCCAATGGCCCTGTCGGCGGGGTGTGGCCAAGACACCCACGGCAGTGCCGCCTGCAGCCTCCAGGTGGCGCTCTCATAGGCCAACGTGGGGACGGCGGAGAAGCCGAGCTGGCGAAGTCACACCCGGGCCAGCCAGACACAGGGCGGCATGCCAGCGCCAGGCTTTTCCATTACAGAGACATTTAAGGCAAAGCAGACAGTATGTGCCTGTGGTTCTTATCAGGCCTGAGCTCAGACTACCACTTCCTTAAAAATTCCGGCAGGCAGGAGGTAGCTCAATTCAGAGTGCACCACTGAAAAAAAATCTGGTGCTCACCCTTCCAGCCTACCGCTTGCTCTCAGGAGAAAGACCGAATCCACGGGCTAGCACACCAGGCCGGGGTGATCTGCCCCCTGCCCTCTCCTCGGCCATCTTTCTCCTTCCTTTTGCTCAGGAATGGAAGGGTTTCGATTCTTTGCATATGAGATGCTGGAGATTAAAGCCAGGGCATTAACACTGAACTTGTCTCTAGGCCTTTTTCGTCTTATTGTGAGACAAGGTGTTTTGCTAAATTGCCCAGCCTGGGCTTGACCTTGGGATCCTTTTGCCTCGGCTTCCCAGAGTGCTCAGGTTACAGGCATGCCCCACCACATCTGGCTCTAAATAAAGTTTTATTGGAACACAGCCCATTCGTTTACATATTGTTTATGGCTGTGTTCACTGGGTAACAGCAGGGCTGTGTGTCCACAAATCCTGACTGGGAGTTCCTCCCCTTTGCCCCTCTTAGCTGGCTCATGCCCTCTCAGCCTCCATGCTGGGCCCCGAGGCCCCTGACCCTTTCAGTCCCCATTCTATTCTGCAGCATTTTCTTCTAGTACCCTGCACTTACCCTTAATTATACTTCTCAAAACTGTCATTAAGGTATGAGTTAATACCTACCTTCTCGACTGTAAACTCTGTGAGGGTGAAACCGTGTGGGTTTATTTACAAGACTTGTCCCCCGTGAAATGCTCCAAACAACCTCTGTGGAGTAAATGGATGGAACAGAGCTACTGCAATCACTATAAAATTCCCAACCATGACGTGTGGCCGATCCTTATATGGTGGGACCAGGGCTGGGCGCCATACCTCAGCATCCCTGTTCTTCAGCCTCACGGCGAGTTCTTTTTTGAGCATGTCAATGGCCTCCTGGTTCCTCTGGTTCCGTCTGTTGATGTCCTGCAAGAACTGGGCCTTCTCCCGTGCTTGCATGGGGTTGGTCAGGAGCTTCTCAAACAGGAAGCCCCGCAGCTCCACCAGGCCCTCCAGAAAGCGCTGGGTCCCTGGGCTTCTGTGAAATGCCTGCATCTGCAGGAGCTTGGTGGCCTCGGGGTTGCTCAGCAAGAGCCTCAGCATGTTCTTGGTGGAGTCCCTGATCTGCCGCATGAATGGTGGGAGGCTGGCTTTGTGCAGCTGCACAGAGATGCGGCGTTCGCAGAGCCAGGCCTCCTCCGCCTCCTCCGCCTCCTCCTGCAGCCGCTGCACTTTCTCCAGCAGGTTGCTCACGCTGTCCAGCAGGGCCTGGCAGAGGGCCCCGTGCTCTCTCAGGGCTCCCGCGAGGTCCTCGCGCATCCCCACCAGGGCCTCTGGATGGCCTGCCACATCCCACAGCAGCGTGACCAGCTCCACCTTGCAGATGGCCTCGTCCAGAACAGACATGATCCTCTTGGCCTCGATGGTGGCGAGTTTGGACTTGGAGGGGACCAAAGGTTTCAGTGGCTCCGCTGGCTTTGGGGACAGCTCTGTCTTCAGTGGGATTCTACTGATGTCAGGGGCTTGGGAGAGGGGGGCTGAGGTGAGGATGTCCCTGGCCATGCCAGTCATGTCTCTGCGTGCCCTCTTGATGTACCTTCTGTCCCCAGCAACCCTGTAAAGGAAGGAAAGGATGTGAGTGCCACACTGATGTCCCCATGGCTAGTGCCAGCCTGTTGACAGTGACAGTCATCTGTAGCACGTTGTGCTCTTGCTCAGAAACTTTCCCAGAGAGCAGCTTTTAGCTTGGGGACAGCTCTTGGGCCATCAAGGGTGGAGGCGGGTCCCAGGCACAGGTATCAGGCAGAGAGCGTCCAGGTGCCTTGAGGATGGAACCCAGGGCAGCCTTGCTGTCACCTCACAGTCTCCCAGAAGACTTAGCGTCGGGTCACGCGGGATGGAGAGTTGACATGCCAGCTATATTGGGGAAGGTGAAGTCACCCAGTACTTCAGAGGCTGGAAGCCACCCCCTAAGGAGGAGGTGGCCTGCAAGGGCCAGCAGAACGCAAAGCTGAGGCCGGGACACCCTGTGTCCTCCCTCTTGCCCCCTGCTTTGTCAGTGCTTCCCCTGGTTGCAACCAAGGGACAAAGGACCTGGGGTCCTGCAGCCTGCAGAGATCGTGGTCTACCTCATAGAGCTGCATGGGGTGAGGGCAGACAGGATGAGGAACAGCATGTTGTCACTGACTTTTGGGTGCTGATTTAAGAAAGTAGTGGTGGAGCTGGTAAGGTGGCAGATGCCTGTAATCCCAGTACTTGGGAAGCTGAGGCAGGAGGATCACCATGAGTTTGAGGCCAGCTAGGACTCCATAGTGAGTTCAAGTCCATCCTGTACTATACTGAAATACCCTTTAGTTATGATTTGTGTCTAGTTGTCTCTCCAAAGTCTCACTTAGTCAGGGCTGGCTTCTGGAGTTTGTGATTGATTTTTTTTTTTTTTTTTCAGAACTGGGGATTGAACTCATGCCCTTGCGCTTGCCAGGCAGACGCTTATCTACTGAGCCATCTCCCTGGCCCTATGATTGATTCTTGATCCAATCCTGGAATTATGGGTGCAGGTGCCCTGGGCAGATACTCTGCATTACAGTATAAGGAGAGAGGAGAGAGGCTGGCTAGCTGCCTGGGCTGCTGCCACTCTCTTTGCTCTCTTGCTTTTTGCAGTTACCATGAGTGGCTGCCCTCTGCCATGTGCCACTCTGCCTTGGAGCCAGCTGAGTATGGACTAAAACCTCCACAGATTGTGAGCTAAATAAACCTTTCCTTCCTTCATTTTAGGTGTTGGTTATTTTGTCCCAGCAACAAGAGAAGAGTAACTGAAACAGCTTGACTCAAATAATCAAACAACAAAAACCCAAACACACACACACACACACACACACACACATACAAATTTCAATGCTGCATCCTAGGTTGAATCTTGGGATGGAAAAATGACATCAGTGCGACAACCTGACAAATCACACAACTTGTGGATCAGCAGCACAGGAATGGGGTTGATTTCCTAGTGGCGACAACAGACTGTTTTTACAAGATGTGAACATCAGGGGGCGCTGAGCGAGGGCATACAGAAATCAGGCTGTGCTGGCAGTTTTCCTGTAAGTCTGCAATTATTATGAAATAATATGCTTACTAAAAAGGCAACTTTAGAAAAATCCAGTGACGGCCTGCAATCACAAATTTATGTGGGCTCTATAGCACGCGGCCACCAGCGAACGCGTCACAGTGGTCTGGCAGTGACTCTGGCTGGGTATTTAGTTCCCCCAGCCTGGGCTACCTCTGCTGCGACACAGGAATCCGCAGGATCGCTGGGAAGTTCCTGGCACAAGACTTGATACCGAGTGTTCAGTAATGCTGATCAGCAGCCCGGGGAGCAGAAACCGCAGTTCCAGGCCTGGTTTGCAGCGCACCCACAGGTTGTCAACAGCTCAGGATCGGGATCTCCGGATGCAGTGTGCCACTTCAGCCTGCCCCTCTGTCTCTGCCCCCCAGCACCTGTCTTTCCTGAGCAGGCCCCAGTGAAAGCTGGGCCTTATGGGCTTTGATCACCGCTGTTTACAGGAGGCTGAAAAACCAGCCATCATCCTGGAAAGACACCTGCCGCTGCCACCTATGGGTCACGGTGGAGGCTGACCTGCTGGCGTCCACTGGAGCGTCCTGGGAGCTACGGGTGGGGCATATTTCCGGTGTGTCTGGGATGGGCCTGGAGGTGTGACCTTGGAGGTGACACCTGGTCCATGCCTCCTCCTCTGCTGCTGCTCTGCGTCCTGACCGTCATACAGCAGCTCCGTTCCACCACATCCCCTGTCGCCACGTTCTTGTCTCAGAGCCAGCCCTCCATGGACCCAATGCCCTGCAACCCTGAGTCATATTAACCCTCTTCTTTAAACTGTGGGCACTGGGTACTGGGTCTCAGCAAGAGGAAAGCGCACAAGTACAGTTACTCGGGTCATGTTTTGCTTCACTGTGAACGTGAGAAATGGCTTATGTTTGCTTTTTTTTTTTTTTTTTTTTTTTTTTTTTTTTTTTTAACAGGGTCTCCCTAAGTGTTCAGGTAGGTCCTGAACTCACTATGTAGCCCAGGCTGGTCTCGAACACAGCAATCCTCCTGCCTCAGCCTCTTGAGTGCTAGGATTACAGGTATGGGTCACCATTCATGGCTTGAGAAATGTTTTAAAGAAAGAGCTATTAGGGTTCAATGAATGACAGAGTTCTGATTCTGGGCAACTGGGAGAGAAGGGTGGGGTCCTTGAGAATCCTAGCCAATGGGGAGAGGAACTTGGAAGGAGGATAAAGAATTAGTTTCAAACTCCGTGAGTTCTGGCTGCCACGCCTGGAGTGCACACTGGGCAATGTCTTTTTTTTTTTTTTTTTTAATGTATTTGGTTGTTACTGGGTCTCACTACACAGTTCAGACTCAACGTGATCTTCCTGCTTTCAGACTCTCCAGTGCTGGAATTATGGGCATGCGCCACTACGCCCCCAACTCTGGCCAACTCAGCCTGCCCTGGGGGCAGGGCTGGTGTAGCATGTGGTGACAGGGATCGAACCTCAGTCCCCGTGCTTGCCTGTGCTTGCCTAAGCAGGCGCTTTAGTCTGCTGAGCTATCTTGCGGGCACTGGCAATAATGTCTTGGCCTTCTGTGACCTCTGGAAGGGGAGTCACAGGCTGTGGGAGGTGACATACTGAGGTTTGCGGAATACTTCCTTTCTCCTGTGCTTAGCACTTAGTCCCCAGTCTGGGGAGGGGATGTCGAGCAAGGGCGGGGTCTTCAGGTCGCAGGAGGCCAAGCCCATGGAGGGGATGTTGGGCCTTGAACACTCATTCCTGGCCATCCTCACGAGCAAGGTGCTCTACCACAAGCTTCTGCCATGTGCTTCGGCTTTATCACAGGGCCAAAGCCATGGAGCCAGCTGAGCGAGGATGGAGGCCCTCACACGTGAGTGACACAGACCTCTTCTCCTCCTAAGCTGCTCGCCTCAGGTACTCTGTCACCCGATGGAAAGCTGACACAGCAGCCTCTGTGACGCTGTCAGTGGAAGAGCTCTGCTCACTTTCTCCTGAAGAGGACACATGTGTGGGAACCCTTCAGGCCGTTCCTCAAGAGCCTGCAACCCAGATGCCCCGGCTTTGGGGCTCCTGCTCATTCTGAGGCTGGCCCTCCCGTGTTCCCTCCATGCTTCTGCTTAGACAGGGTCAGCTTCCGTTGCTTGCAATCAGACGCCTGCACTGATGAACAATCAAGCACACCGGAAACCTGTGAGCAAAGGCAACCTGGAACGGAGATGTACATGCGAAGGAGGAGGGAGGGATAAAGCCACCAAAGATTACTTTGGAATCAAGTGTGGTGACACCATCTGCAATCCCATCACTTGAGAGGTTTTAAAACCCACTTGGGTGGTCTAAGCACCTGCCTAGCAAGTGCAAGGACCTGGGTTCAGTATCCAGTACCACATATTGTGTGCTGACCCCAGAACCCCAGGTGCCTCGCTGGCCACTGAAACAGGGCATGGTGGCTCACATGTGTGATCTCAGTGCAAAAGAGGCTGAGATGGGAGGTTCACTACGAGTTCAAGTTGCATAGTGAGATCCTGTACCAAATACATAGATAAATTAATTAATTAAATTCAAGGCTGGCCTAGCCTACAAAGCAAGACCCTGTCTCAAGAAAATCCAAACAAACAAAAACAAAAGGATTATTCTCAGGTCAGCAAGCCAAAAAGTAAATGGCAAGAATAAGAGGGAAAAAAAAAAAGATTTAGGGTACCAGGTATGGTGGCCCATGCAATAATCCCAGCAGTTTAGGAGGCTGAGGCTGGAAGATCCTAAGTTTTAGCCCAGGGTGGACAACTGAGAAAACTGAACAATTTAGTGTCTCTTTCTGTTTCAAAGAAATGGCTGAGGATCAACCTCAGTGAGGAGGCTTTGGGCTCAGATCCTACTACTGCAAAAAAGGGAATACAAAACCAGCAAACACCAGGTGCTACAGTTGCTTCAGTTCCTTTTTGAGGCTAAAATACGAATCTGGTCACGAATCAGAAGGCCTCTTGGGAGGTCAAGAAGGCCAGAAGGTCGCTGGGCTTCTGCTCTCTGAGACAGCTGTAAGTCCCTTTGCGGCTTTTCCTAAAGATGAAGCGGCTGCAGAGCTCGGGCAGCTTCTCTGGGGAAGAAGGATCTCGGCCGAGGCCCCAGGACGAAGGTGAACCAAGTATTTAATGAACGTGCGTCCCACTGTCCCCGAAGCTCTCAGGCATAAATCAAAACGCCAGACTCCTCCAGGAAGCCGCCACAGAGTCAACGCTTTCGGAAATGTTTCCAATTTGCTTTCAGCCAAATTACCTCTTTTGCTTTAAAGGGCAAACTTGTTTTCTTTGATTATGAGGCCGCCCATCAACTCTTGACAGCTCATTTGCGTGAACACGGAAAAGGCCCGCAGACCCGTGGTTGGGGGGTGGGGCGCTCTGACTCCACTGACAAAAATCACCCAAGTCTCTTTTCTTTGAATTCTAATACGATCATCTCACGTCCTTTTTAATATCGAAATCGTCTCCACCTTCAGCCTCCCCTTTTAAAATTCCTGCCCTCACCATGCAGCAGGGTTGTTAATGGA